TCACCTGATTTAGCTAACCCCTAAAATAACAACCAAACTTTTTTTTTTTTTTTGGGAGAGCTGACAATATCGGGTGATGATTGTATTATTGTACTAGAGTTTTGCTTGCAAGATGCTACTTACTACTGGGTGAAACTGGGTAAAGGGTACATTGGATTTCTTTCTGTATTATGTCTGACAACTGCATGTGACTCTACAAATTTTACCTTAAAACTAAAAGTTTAATTTAAAAGCTACTCATTTTTTGGTGGCATGCTGAATCCCAGTGTCACATGTCAGCTGTCTGGAATGTAGGCATTCATTTAGTTCTTTCCAGAAGAAAAAGCTGTATGAATGAGGACAGGATAGAATTAGAAGCTTGAGGGGTGGGAAAGGGGTTCGGAATACCCTAAGAGAGGCATCTGACAAGAGCTCAATGGACAACGAACAAAAGCCCTAGACAGGCTCTACTTCAGCTGACTTGGCAGTTTCTAGATTTTATGGAGTGGGTAAATGATCTACTCGTGCTTGGGGATTTGTGTATTTAGAAGATTAGAAATCCAAAGCTTCTCCTAAGTTCCCATTATATTATTCAGAGAACCAGATGTTTTGAGCACCACATTGTGACTTTTGTAACCAGGTGATAGTGAGTGATAGAAAAACATTTTAAGCCCCAAAGAGTGAGGTACCTATTTTCTTCTAGATGTTGCTTCTGTGATTTCAGGTACCATCACCATGTGCCAAGGAGGGCCATCAGTGTGGTCTTCTCTGTGCATAGCCACACCCAGGCAAGAAGAGAAGGCAGCTGAAATGAGGCTTTGATTTCAGTCCATTATGATTTCTACTATAAAAAGGATTTTAAGGAACTATTAAATTTTAGCTTGCTACATCATGAAACATCTAAACAAAAGTATCGTATTTTAAGGTTGACTTCAACTTCTAACTTATCTATTCTATTGGACCTGAAACAAAAATTTCCCAGGCAATTTCCAGCTGCCATCCCCCAACTCTTTTCTCCTCCCATCTTAGTTATTAAATCCTCATGCATTATTACTCCAAGCCTGTAATAACTGAGGTCATTGACGAAGGTGTCCTCACTCTTGCTAATCCCTGCTTATTTTTCACAAAATCACTAATCTTCAGGGAATATCTCAAACCATCATTTCTATTTCTGAGTCAGAAAAACAAAACGCGGAGAAGGTTACGGGTGACAAGGACTCTTGGAACATCAGACTTCAACATGGGCCATGTGACAATCTCTCCTTTATCTGGAAAGAGAGATTTGATACACTGTCATTAGAAGTTCAAGGCACCAGAAAGCTAGGATCATTCTATTCTCAATATGTAACTTTTAAAAACTAAAACAAGACCTAGGGAAACTGTATGAAGGATGTTTTTGTCTTTGTATCTTGCTCTGTGCCATGAGAATTTCTGTATGCCTGTGTTGGGGAGAGAGAAATTCTCCCTTCTATCCCTCTTGCATTCTTGTGGCTGGATTAATCATAGAATTGATACAAGACTGATTACTAGGAGAAAAAGAAACAAAATTTAATTCATGCACTGGGAGTTCTCATAGAAATGGGACCTAAGTGGCCAAAGTAGGCAGCTCTTATACCTCTTAGATAAACAAACAATAAATTTGCGAGGAATTGACAGAGCAAAGAAACTTCGGTTTTGGGAGCCCAAATGGTGAAGAATCTAAAGAGAATTCGGGCTTGCGGTGGTAAGTGAAAGACATCACCAGGTTTTTTCACACAGGCTTCCCAGCCTCAGTTGCCTATCTCTGGTGATAAGGGCTTCCTCCATCTCCAGATGAAGCGAGTGCAAATTTCACACAGATTTGTTTCCTGCCTTCAGGGAGACAGAAAGGTGTGTCAGACTATCTCTCTAGCATTGGCTGTTTCTTAAGTAACTTTATAATAATCAATATGCTACTAAAGTACATTTTGGGGTGGCCTACTCTGAACTTCAACATATGTGACACTTCAATTAAAGGAAGCCCACCTCTTAAGGCCCTAAATATGAAAAATAAAATGTTTTAATTTGATGTCATTTAAGGTATCGAGGTCACTTTGCAAGGAAAGAGGTGATCAGGTCACGAAAATGGGTCCCGACCATAGATGGACTTTTCAGACTTTGGAAGAAGGCAAGAAATTTCACCAGCAGATAGCTTTGGTCCTACTGGAATGCTGCCTCAGACTACCATGTGAGAGCTAATCTACCCTACCACAGGATGGCAGGCCATACAGAGGACACCTGGGACCCCTCAGTGACAGCCAGTGTCAAACTGCCAGCCTTATATGGACACATTCCAATTTGGCCAACCTATATACAGCTGCATGAGTGAGCCCAGCAAAACTGACAGAGGAACCTTCCAACCAGCCCACAGAACTGGCATAATAAATCCTTGCCATTAAGTCACCAAGTTTTGGGGTGGTCAAAAGAAATTGGAACCATTGAGGAAGACTTCATGGACCTCAACATGGATCAAAAGAAACAACAGGCCCCAGATGGAGTACTTATGTTAAGCCCACATCACCAAGACTTGATACTCAACTTAATTGCTATCTCAACCCCCTGGGAATGTGATCTTTAACCAGCCAACCTGGAATTACCTGGTCGGCACTAAGGGAGGTAATCTGCCCAATGGGCCCTTTCTTTCCCCTTAGGAGGGTGGCCTTGCCTGAAACTGAATTCTTTGCCAATAATTTTCTGTTTCCACCCCCTTTCTGCTTTTAGTAGCCTTTCCTTTTCTCAGGGGAGCTTTTATCTAACTGCTAGATGAATGCCACTTGACTCACGAATCATTTAATAAAGCCAATTTGACCCTTAAATTGACTCTGTTGAATTTCTGTTGTTTACCAACAGGTACAAAACTAGACTCATTTTTCTTGACTTGACTTTTTCTAGTAATGGTGCCTTCATTTCTCGTCCATTGCGTTTTGAAACAGAGGCATGTTTTCCCCTTCATTTTCTTTATTTCCCTCTGGATATATGATGTCTAAGCCTCGTCAGTTCTTCCTAATCATTTCCTCCTCAGCTCTCCCTTCTATTAACACTGTTACCATGTTCACGTTAATTTAATAACGAAAGCACAGCAATGATTCTTTGTTTTTGGTCTTCAGCAGTTCAGTTTATCCCGAATCCTCACAGAACTGTCACTGTAACAAAATATTGCTCCAGTTATTCTTCTTTCCTCCAAAAAATCCTTAAATGGCTTCCTCTGCTACATAATAATGGTCTTGCTCCTTAGCCTTATCAATTGAATCACCTCCCTCCCAAGTCTGGTTGCCATGTGTCCTCCTGAGCATAACTAACTTTCTTCCAAGTTGTTATTTTTCTCCAAAAGTCCCAATTCCATCCAAATAATCCTAGTAATTACTTCTAGACTATGCCATAAGCATTCTTTGTTTAAAAACGTTGCTCTTGATTTTATTCCTCAAACGAATCCCCACTATCTAGACCTTGATCATCCAAAAATTTCCAATCAAATTTACCTTCTACGTGAGGCTTCCTCTCAGACCATTCCCAGATTATTCTCTAATTTCTTTAATGTTTTGTCCAAACGATTCAGTTAACACCCACTGTGTAATCATTTATTACAGTTACACTTGTCATGTGTAATAAATGTTTTATCCACACACCTAAATAGCAAACTTTTGGAGCTCAAGGTCCAGTATCTCCCACCTTGTAGAAGTATAAAGTGTTATCAGTAAATAGTAATTGGCATTGAAGGAGGCAGTAAGGTTTAGGTAGGTGGGGAGAGAAAGAGCATATTAAAACAAGAGTAACAAGAGAAGATGAGCTGTGTGTCCTGGAGATTGGAAAGATAACATCAAATAAAGGTTCAACTTAATTCCCTAACCACCGCCACCACAAAAGCATCACTCAGCCATTCTTCTTCCCCTTGCTTACTTTTCTCCAAGGCACAAGGGTGCTCATTTGTGCCTCAAGACTTTTACACTTGTTGTGGAAAAATGTGATCACCAAAATAGAATTTTAAAATTACTTTGTTGTTTGCAAAAGCTGTGTCACAGGAAGGAAAGAGGCGGAGTGTTCACTAACCGTAGGCAAATTACCACTCTACCCCAGTTCCTTAACATATAACATTACAGATCTATTTTATACCCTCCCCCACGCCCCCAGAGCTGCCTTGTGGTTAGCAGGGCAGGAAATGCCTTCTAACACCCAGTGCCATGGGGAAGGGAGAGCCCTGTAGTCAGAAGTTCAGGAGAGCTCTTGAAAGGAGTGTTGTTTACATGTATTTGAAACAGTCACACAGTCAGTCCAGTAAGACACTCGGGAACCACCATTTATATGAGCCCTTAACTTTCTCTAACAAATGACAGAGAAAGTTGCCTCCATTCAACAAATTCATTTATTCAACAAATAGTCTCAGTGACAACTACGGCATACACTCTTCTAGGGGAAACATGCCTCACAATAAAAATATACAAAAAAAACAAAGTTTTATGAAAGTAGGAAAAATATATATACCATGGGAATACTGAGCAAAAGAAAGCTAGTCTAGCTGTTGAAGGGGAATGGGGCGTGAGAGGATGGTCATGTCCCAGGTCTCAGGAGTTCCTGGGACTGGCCACCGAGCGAGGGTCCTTGGCTTCGTGCAGGAAAGAATTCAAGAGCAAGCCGAAGTAGAGTGGAAGTCGATCTATTCAGGGAGACGCACACTCCATAGGTAGAGTGTGGGCCGTCTTAGAAGGCAAGAGTGGCCCCAGGGTACAGGGGTAGTTAATTTTTACAGGCTGGGTAATTTCATATGCTAACAAGTGGGAGGATTATTTCAACTGTTTAGGGGAAGGGGTGGGATTTCTAGGGACTGGTCCACCACCCACTTTTTGGCCTTTTATGGTCAGCCTCAATTGTCATGGTGCCTGTGGTAGTGCCATCCAGCATACTGGTATACCACAGTGAGCGCCTAATGAGGCCCAAGGTCTACTGGAAATGGAATCTTTCACCATCTGGGGCCTGGCTGATTTTGACCAGTATTAGTCCTATCCTCAATGGCTGTGTCATTCTTTCAATGGCTGTGCCCTCTCCCCTCCTTCCCTCCTGTCTCATTGCAACATGAATATAAATGAAACATACCTTAATAAAAAAATATTACTACCAGTTCACTTTGTAATGTTGAGATGTTCATCAGGAAGATCACAATTTTATTTCTGTATCCTCTGAATAACAGTCTCAATATATATATAAAGCAAAAAGTTTGACAGGACTGTAGTAAAAAAATAAATAAACCCACAATCATAACAGATTATAAAGGAGAAGCTAACTTCTTTACCATCCCTTTTCTCCCTACATCTTTGCTCCTTTTTTTCCCCCCAGATATTAGCTTCTTAGAGAGCTATTTTCAAGTTATTCTATTTAAAATAATGCCTCCCTATCATTCTTTATTGGATGTATACTTGCCCGAAGTCACAATATTCATTTATTGCTTATTAATTTCTCATCCACTGAAATGTATTCCATGAGGGCAGAGATGTTTCTCATCCACCATGAAATCTCTGGTTCCCTAAACAGTTTCTGTCACATAAAAATGTTTGCTGAATAACCAACAGTTAACAACTGTTGGATACTTCTGTGTACAAGAAACTTTAAATGCATTATCTTAATTCTCCCAGCAATTCATAATTTTATAGAAATCCTGATTTTTTTTTCTTTTTTTACAGAGTAATTTACTCAGGCTCACACAGTTAGTAGAAGACAGAGTTAAGATTTGAACCCAGGGACACTGTCTCCTTGCAAGTCCTTGGCAGTCCATTGAACTTGGGAATCCACCATGCTCTCTTCTTACACAGGGATGTGACATTTTATTCATCCAATAAACACGGATTAAACTGCTTACTCTGTGTAATATGCTAGAGATGCAATGGCGAGGCAGAAATAGACAGTGCCTGGTTTCATGGGGCTTCTGTGTTATTAGGGTAGGAGACTTTAAACAACTACCTGCCTAATTATTTAATCACAATTATTTTAGTATCAGAAGCAGTCACTTGAAGTACTGTGACACTGCACAAGAGGAGAAGCTGCCCTAGCCTGGGAATTCAGGGCAAGTTTCTTTGAGGAAGTGACATTTGGTTTGAAATTGATTCCAGTCATCTTTCTGATTTTAGCCCAAATATCAGGAGCACCCCTGACACAGGGCGAGTAAAGCAACTCATGGGAGAAGCAGCTTTAAAAGAAAATGTATTAATTGTGTGTACTTCTTGTAGGGGGTGAAAAAAATTTCTCCTCTTCTAGGTTCTTTGGCTGCTCTGATTATTAAATATGACAGAATAACAGGAGAAAACACTTAAATACATGTGTATGGGAGCCCCACCGAGATGGTGAGACTCAAAGACAGTCAGGAAATTGAGGCTTATATGCCATCTCGAGCTAAAGAGAAGTGGGTGGGGGGCTGGGGCTTCAAAGGGGAGGAAGAGAATTCACAGCAAGATGAGAAGAGTAGATGTTTGCTAGTCAGATGTCTGCCCTGCCATGCAAAGACTGGAGAAAAACACATTATTTGTTAAGGACAGAGCAGGCGGAGAAGACAGATGTCTGAACAGGTCGGAGAAGCTTGGAAGAGTATTTCAAGGAGAGTGTGATCAACTGTCAAGTGCCATTAAGAGTCGTGGAAAATGCAAACTCTCCACTGGATCAACAAACGGAGTTTTACTGACGGCCCTATGGAAAGCTGTTTTGGTAGAGTGGTGGTAGCCAAAGCCAGGTAGAAATAGTTTTAGGAGTGCCGGGGAGGTGAGGAGACGGCGCCAGATACAGGCAATCCTTAAGAAATCTTAACTTTGAGGGGATGGAGAGAGATTAAAAGGTTTTAGGAAGCCAGGAAAGAAGAGCGAGCAAAGCAGTAATAGTGTACGTGTTGAAATGTTACTTAGATTTAACTCCACAAACATTTCTTGATCACATAAAGGGCACAGGGCAGGGGACTGACAACTGAGAGATGAGGGAGTAGGAACCAGTCCTTCCCCTCAAGGTGCTCAAAGTTGCATAGGGGAGAGAAGGTAAACAATTATGCATTTGGAGAGTGCAGTAATGCATGGATTAGATAAAGCGGTAGCATAGGGGTGGGAATGCAGAGGATGTTTATTAGGAAGGAGAATGGGAAGACATCTTAAAGCACATTTAAAATGAGTTAGGAGTTCTTAAGCATTTTCTAGGATGACTATGAGAAAGGCATTCCAGGCAGAGAAAAGCAGTTTATCAGAAAACCAGACGTAGACTTTAAAGAGCCTGGGTTCTTGGAATCACATTGTCTAGATAGAAATCCCGCCTCCAGCATTACCAGCTCCATGACTTGGTGTAATTACCATCCCTTTGCAAAGCTTCGATTTCCTCATCTATAAAATGAAAGCTGATAACTCCTATCTCAGGATTTTAGAGAGGCTTAAGAGGTGTGATGCACTGAGTTCAGTAGCTGATATGCAGCAAATACTCAACATACATTAAGTCTTGTTATTACTGTAGGATGGAAAATGCAAAAAGAGCGGCAAAGTATAAAGATGAAGGTAATTGCAGCAAAGTATAAAGCTCTGAAGATAATCAGGAGCCAGATGGTGATAGATTTGTCAGGAAAGTTAGCATTGTTCTCGGCACTAATTAAAAGAAGTGAGTACAATCATTAGAAAATAAACTAAAGTTAGGCTTAATTCTACTAAAAAAAAGTCTTCAGGAAGCATCTTAATTATAATCTCCTGTCGATGAGGCCTCAGGCAACAGCGATGTACAAGTACTTACAGGCTACTAATTAAGAGGCTGAACAGCTAACCTCTAATTGTGCAATTTGCAATTTTTTTTTTTTTACATTACAACATCTTGTTAATACGATGCCTTACTTTCCATTAAGATTGTGGCTTAACTTCAATTTTCTTTTTTCTTTATGTGTTTTGGTATTTAAAAAATAAACTAGTACCATGGCAATACTGTGATTTCAGTAAAACAAACAAACAGAAGAACGTTTTCAACTCTACTACCAAAACAAAGCAAAATACACCAGATTAGCTGATCACAGTGTGTAGATGACCTTGAGAGTATGGTCAGGGGATTTTAAGTGTACAGTTATAGACTCCACAAAAATCTGCAGGGAGATCTAAGGAAATGTGCATACGAACTGCGGTCTTCATCCTTTTTCTCACAATGTGAATGGATAAAGGTTTCGCTAGTCCAACAAGCCAGCGATTTACCTTCCAGATTTTTACTTTCAGGGACTTTTTCTTTTCTCTTTGGGGGTCAACTCCTCACTTATGTGAACAATATTCCTTCTACAGAAGAAATTTTTGCCTTGAAAAGACAGTTCTGAGTCACCACTGTCTGGAGTACCTAAACTGTTGAGTATTTTTTTTGAGGCAAAACTAGTGTATAACATTATATTAATTTCAGGTGGACAACATAATACTTTGATATTTGTATATACTCCAAAGTGACCAACACATTAAGTGTAGCTACCATTCATTAGCATACAATTGATACAGTTGATTGCCTTCACCCATTTTGCCCACCCCCACCCCTCTTCTCCTCCGGTAACCACAAATCTTTTCTCTGTATCTTTGGCTTTGGTTTTGTTTTGTTTGTTTGCGTTTTTTGTTTTTTAGATTCCATGTATAACTGAAATCATATGGTATTTGCCTTTCTTTGACTTATTTCACTTAGCATGATACCCTCAAGGACCATCCATGTTGTCACAAATGGCAAGATTTCCTTATTTTTTATGTTTAAGTAGTATTCCATTGTGTGTTACATATATATATTATATATATACAGGCACACTTATTACATCTTCTTTATCCTTTCATCTATCATAGGACACTTAGGTTGCTTCCATATCTTGGCTATTTTATAAATAATGCTGTAATGAAAATGCTTGCATCTTCTCAAATTAGTGTTTTCATGCTCTGCAGACAAATACCCACAAACAGAAGAGCTGGACCATATAATAGTTTTATTTTTAATTTTTTGAGGAACGTCCATCATGTTTTCCATAATGGCTGCACCAACTTACACGCCCATTAACAATGTACAAGGGTTCCCTTTTCTTCACATCCTCTCCAACACCTTTTTTGGAAATTTTTTTTTGAATTTTTTGTCTTTTTGAAAGTAGCCATCCTAATCGGTGTGAGTTATCTCATTACAGTTTTGATTTGCATTTCCATGTCAATTAGTGATTAGATGGCCACATGCCTGTTAGGACTTCTCTAGAAAAATGTCTATTCAGAGCCTCTGTTCATTTTTTAATCAGATTGCCTAATTTTTTGCTATTGAGTTGTTTAAATTCTTTATGCATTTTGGACATTAACCTCTTATCAGCTATATGATTTGCCTTTATATTCAGTAGGTTACCTTTTCATTTTGATAGTCTCCTTTGCTGTGCAGGAGCTTTTTAGTTTGAGGTAGTCCCACTTACTTATTTTTGCTTTTGTTGCCACTGCTTTGGAGTCAGATCCAAAAATTCAATACCAAGGCCAGGGTCAAGGAGCTTACTGGCTATGTTTTCCTCTAGGGGTTTTAATGGTTTCAGGTCTTACATTCAAGTCTTAAATCCATTTTGAGTTAATTGTTGTGTATGGTGTAACACAGTGTTATAGTTTCATTCTTTTGCATGTAGCTGTCCAGTTTCCTACTGTATATTCTTGGCTTCTTTGTTGTAAGTTAATTGACTATATATGTGGGTCTATTTCTGGGCTCTCTACTCTGTCCCATTGATCTGTGTGCCTATTTTTAAGACAATACCATAGTGTTTTGATACTTTAGCTTTGCAGTGCCATTTGAAATTAGGGAGCATACCCCAGTATTGTTCTTCTTTCTCCAGATTACTTCGGCTATTCATAATCTTTTGTGGTTCCATATAAATTTTAGAATTGTTTGTTCTAGTCCTGTGTAAAATGCTATTGTAATTGTGATAGGGATTGCAACAAATTGGTAGATTGCTTTGGGTAATATGAACATTTTTAAACAATATTAATTCCTCTAATCAATAAGCATGGAGTATTTTTTTTCAATTTTTTGTGTCTTACTTGATTTCTTTAGTCAATGTCTATAATTTCCAGTATATAAGTCTTTCACCTCTTTGGTTAAATTTATTCCTAGATATTTTATCCTTTCTGATACAATTATAAATGGGATTGCTTTCTTTCTCTTTCTAATAATTGGCTGTTAGTTTATAGAAAGCAACAGAGTTCTATATACTGATATTGTATACTGCAACTATAGTGAATTCATTTATTAGGTCTAACAGTTTTTTGGTGGAGTCTTTATATATACAGTATCATGTCATCTGCAAACAGACAGTTTTACTTTTTCCTTTCCAATTTGGATGCCTTTCTTGTGGAGTGTTCTTAAAGTTAAAATATCACCCTGATATCTTCCTGTGGGAATTTTCCACTCTCAATGAATCCAGTGGTATGATCTTCCTACCGAAATTGGTAATGCTGATTTTGGTACTGGATATGGCACGTACTGTTAATGTTGTTTTTGATAACTTGGTATGCAGTGATTGGCATTACTTCCTGTGTGTGTCTCAACTTCCCTAATTTTCTGATGGTCTAACCCTATAGGTTAGGCCTCATTTTAGCACGTTTATATATATATATAATTGGGTCGATTCTGCAAGAAGTTTAATCAAGCTCATCTAGTTCATTTCTTGTAGTTGCAGGTAAACTCCTATGGTAGGTCTTGAACTCTCGCCAGCATTGTGGACCTTATCTTTAAGTTTGTAGCTGTTTAATAACCGTACGGAGAGTGCAGGGTAAATTCCTTCAAGCAGTGGCTTTGGATTTTGAAGTTTGTTTGTTTGCTTTGCCCAAGACCTACCGTAAATCTGCTACACGGTACACGTGCATATGACTGAATAAAGAATGTTACTACAAAAATAAATAAAAAGAATGTTACTACAGAATACTTACTCGACTTTCCGAGATGTCTCTGAGATTTCTCACTCTGTTTCATATAAAACAAAAACTTCACCTCTTCCAGATAGAAATTAGTTGATTTCACGAACTACTAATTGGTCCTTAAAGGCAGCCCGAAATCGCTCCTCTAGCAGTCTCTGCTGCTGCTCCTTCTGTTCCAGCCTTTCGGAAATGCAGCGTTTGCAGCTAGGAGGCAGCGGCCCTCTGAAAAGTTAACTGAGCCACACCTGCGATTCACCCCTGGAGGATGCAGCCGGCTTTCCTCGCGGGAGGCAGCAGGGCGCTACCCTACAGCACCCCCAACCCCCAACTCGGTAGATGATGCGGCGCTCGACCCGCTCCCCTGCCCTCCAGCTTCCTCGAAGTCCGCCCCGCCTCCTTAACTGGACTCCGCGAATTTAGTTTCTCCCCTGCGCGGTGGGCCGAGCGCCGAGTGATCGATGCCTCCTCCCCGCCCCGGGAGCCGCCATTTTGGGGGGAGGAGAAACACGGGTAGGGGCGGCAGCGGCTCAACGGGATGTTGACTGGCTTTTGCTTCTCTTGCCAGCGCTGT